CTTGCCCAGAAGAGTTCCTTATGAAAAGGGTCCTTGGGGTCTAGTAGGGGGTGATCCTTAGGCGTATATAGCGTTACGGGGTTCTTCTTACGGTTAGAAGTCCTATAAAGTTCGACCGTTTGATCGTTATCGTATAGGTGAATATGGTTATACCGAGATTTGTTAAGGTCCTCTTTAGAACTGGTGCCGTTAACGCTAGGAGGTGCCTTGTGATCGATCTTCGTCTAAGTACGTTATCGAGCGATATTGCGAGGTTCGTCCGAATCGTAAGGTGAATTTTCACCTTTATCGAATATATATAAGCTAGAACCGAAAGCCGGTTCTTGGCTGTCTGTTCGGAAGTCGATTCTTCGACCCTTCACGCCACATACCCTCCGGGAGGTCTGCCGCAAGGGCGGCTGCGCCCTTGCCGCCATGGCGTTAAATATAAAACAAAAACAACAAACAAACAAACAAGTCGATTCTTCCGTTCTCGTTCATTCCGAAATCAAGGTTCTTTCCCTTAATGATTTCGATTTTATATTCGCGGTCGAGGTCTTTAAGCTGCTCGAGGACCTTACGTTGGAACTTATTATTCGGGGATTGTCGTATTATATAGATGGACTTAGTAGGAATTCGTACTTCCCTGGCTAGGATCTCTTCTTCTAGTTGAAGTAGGGATTTCTTGTCCTTCGCAGTTATTCTTTTCTAGAGTCTTCCTCCGACTGCTGCGAGTATTTGAGCTCGTCTCGGATAGCTACTAGGTTATATCTTGACGGCTTTGTAGGCCGTGGACAATATCTAAATATATTCCTTATTATAATCCTCGAGGGTCTTCGGTCGATGCTTAACCTCTTACCTACTTGTTATAGCGAGGGTCTTAATACTGGCGGGCTCCTTAGGGTACCATCCCGTGTTTTCCTTACTATCTTGATAAGTAAGGTAGTTATCGTCGTAGTATACTGTCCAAGAGAGTTGCTTATGAGGAATTTCCTTAGTAGCGATCCTGATCTGTGTCAAGTTGGGATTGTTGACGCAGGGTGGAAGCTCTCAGAGGCCAACTGCAGTTAGGGGTAGAATGATGAATTACTGAAATCTGCTCCTCCCTCGACGTGTACTCCCTGCGCTGTATATATATCTGAGCTGCTCCTTTGTTGCTTGGACTCCTTACTACCTCTAACTAGCCCCTATCCGGGAGGGCTCTGACAATCTGTTTCTCGGGCATAGGTCGCTGCTGGACCCTTCTAGGTTATTAATAGTTGCGGGATATATATCCTAGCTTGTCATAATTGTAGTACCTGAAGACTTCCTTTTAATACGGTTATTCTCGTTTAGCCATGCTAAGGTCTATCGGTCTACTATAGTATCTTTAGGCCGTGGTTTGTCGATTCTGCTAATAATTGTTTTTAAGGCGGTTCTGTCCCTAGAAGCGCGGTTGATAGCGTTTCCTAATGTTTGCTTACGGGACTTGCTTCTTTTCCCTTCGTCGTTCGTAAAGTCGATTATCGAGCTTGATAGCTAGTTCGACGTGTTTTAAGAAGTCGTTAGGTCTGTCTTGTCGAGATAGTTCGTCCTTGACTTCTTCCTTGAGCCCTTTATAAAACATGAAGATCTTAGCGTTGTCGGAGTAGTTAAGTCGAGCGTAGATTCGTCTAAATTCTATAGCGTAATACGAGGCTGATCCCTTCTATCGAAGGTTAGAGAGTTCTCTCTCGTATTATCGTTCCTCGTCTAGTTCTTAGAACAGAAATAGAAGTGCTCTCTCGAATCCGTATAATCCTTCGAAGATACCTTGAGTCTCTAGCTTAAGAATGTTCTAATCGCTAACGTACTTGATAAGCGAGCTGCCCAGACAAGCGAGCTGCCCACCCAACCGCGTTCATCCTTCCTCCTCACTTCTAATGCGTATCACGCCACAAATAATCATGTCGTCACAAAGCAAAGAGGCCCAATTGAACTTAGTAGTCGAGGCCATCTAAAAAAACCCTAAACTCAGCATTCGAGCCGCAGCAAGAATCTATTCAGCCCCCCCTAGGACCCTAGGCACCCGATTAAAAGGGACACCTACACGACAAGATACTATACCTAACTCACGCAAATTGACGGAGCTTGAAGAGGAGAAGCTAGTTAAGTATATCCTCGACCTGGATTCCCGATCGTTTCCTCCCCGGATCAGTGGTATAGAAGAAATGGCCAATCGATTACTCGCCGACCGTAACGCGCCCCCAGTTAGGAAGCGCTGGGCTTCAAACTTTATTAAATGATAACCACAGCTCCGGACGCGCTTTTTTCGTAAGTACGACTGTAAGAGGGCCTAATACGAAGATCTAGACGCGATAAACGCGTGGTTTTGGCTTGTAGTAAACATAATCGCAAAATACGGCATTATAGACTCCGATATCTACAACTTCGATAGGACTAGGTTTATGATGGGCCAGATTGTATCCGGGATGGTCGTCACGAGTGCCGAAAGGCGTTCAAATATAAAAATGATGCAGCCTGGCAATCGTGAATAGGTTATAATCATTCAGGCCATTAGTTCGTCAGGCTATAGCGTTCCGCTGTATATCATCGTTATAGGCCAATATCACCTCTCTACCTGGTATATAGAAATAGATCTCCTACGCGACTGGGTTATCGCAACGTCTGAAAACGGATGGACAATAAATGAAAGAGGCCTAGACTGGCTCCAGTACTTTGATCGGCATACAAAATCACGTACAACTAGCAGTTATCGCCTCCTCGTCGTCGATGGGCACGAAAGTCACCACTCTGCGGACTTTGAGATATATTGCAAGGAAAACAATATCGTCATACTCTGCATGCCGGCTTATTCGTCTCATTTACTTCAGCCCTTAGACGTTGGGTGTTTTGGGCCACTAAAGACGGCTTATGGTCGACAAATTGAGGATAAGATGTGCCGGGGTAATACCTATATTACGAAGGAGAACTTCTTTCCTGTATTTCATAACGCTTTTACGCAAGCCCTAATGGTAAAAAACATCCAGGGAGGCTTCAGAGGGGCCGGGCTTGTTTCTTTGAGTGCCGAAAGTGTGCTTTCGAAGCTTGATGTTAAGTTATATACTCTAACACCCCCAGGGTCCTTACCAACAACACCCCCCGCGTGGACTTCTTAGATGCCAAATAACCCAACAGAGGCCTCTTCTCAGTCCGAACTTATCAAAAGGAGGATCTCCCGCCATCAAAATAGCTCCCCAACTTCAATTATTGAAGTTGTAGAGTATTTATTAAAGGGAGCGCGGGGATTTATGCACCAGATTGCCTTATTAAGGGCGGAGGTCTAGATCCTCCGGGAGGAAAATAACCTACTTAGCCGACGTAGGAGGGCTAATAAAACACGTCTCAGACAAGGAGGAAGTCTTATTGTAGCTGAGGCAGAGGATATTTAGTCGCAGAGAGAGGCTACGGCCTAGATTAAGGAGGAAATGCGCTAGAGTAGTGGTCATCGGCCGAGGACAGAAACAGGTCGATACCGATATAGCGTCTGCGGAAACACTGGCCACAATGCGCGAACATATTAGTTTAATAAAGAAATATCTGAGGAATAGGATTCAGAGTAGTTTCAATTGATTTTATGTTTTTAGTGTTACTCCTTAGACAGATTTATAATATGATCATGGTTAGGTGGGCAGCTCGCTTATCAAGTACGTTATCCTTTATTTCGTTGTCCAGGGTTTTGGCGGGTATAGAGGCCTTACCCTTGGAGTCGTTAGAGGAGGTGGACGGGGTAGTTTTGGAAGATACCGTCGTTCTTATTATTAGTAGTTTCGTAGGGTTAACTTACTGAACAGGAGCAATTAAAGTGTTATAGCCAGCTAGTCGTAGTGAGGTTTGTTTGCAGAAGTTGAGGCTACGGAACTGGTAATAGTATTCGTAGTCGGGGATAGCTTTAGGGAAGCTATGTCTATAAGTCGTAAGGTAAGGGAAGGCTTCGGTGATCAATCGTAGTCTTATTAAAGAGGTTCTCAGGGAAGATAGCTGAAAGCGATCATAAGATCTGATACGAAGTTGATTGCTGAAGAGCTATGGAAAGTCTGTCCTAGAGCCCAGCTCGAGTCTATCCTTATATACAAGTCCCGTGTACTATCTGAACAGTTCCTTTGTGGTTGGGACCGACATCGTGTTGTCGGTCCTATAGGGGTGGACCGCCTTTATCCTGTCGGTGATGATGATGATGATGATGTATTTAACGTCTGGTAACAAAAGGACGTGCCGGGCGCAATGCCGACATGGTCTATACTAATCTAAACTATATTACAGGCTACCGTCTTCACCTAACGTTCCTGTTCAATGACTCGGGCAAATTTCGGAAAAGAAATTAGTCTCCTGTCGGCCTATATCATGGACCGCTTATCGTCTGTCGGTCCTTTCTTATCATCACGTGACTTGTCTATAGTTCTTCCGTTCCGTTGGGGTGACTCCTGTGTCTGCATATATGGCGTGTCGTAGCCGCCGTAAGCCTGCGGGGCAGACCCTGGTCTTGGTCATGCATGTTGGGTCGTAACAACTACCTACCTAACCTCCGGTTAGAATCTCCCTTCTACTCCTTATGCAGAATCAATCAATACAGAGATATTAATACTTCGTCACCCCCAGGACCCTACGGTTCGAACCAACATCCCTGTGATAGGGATACCGACAGAATCCTTCCACGTTGAATCTAGCGACAAGACTTTCACTGAGGCATTGTGTGGTCCACGAAATTTGCATATAAACATTCCGACACAACTTGAAGACTCCAAAACGCAGCAAAACTTAGTTGAATGTGGAATTGGGTAAATGTAGATCTGTTCATGTCAGCTCCACTATGTGAAATTGAAATTCGGGCTCCCCGAAACTTAAGTTTCTGCTACCCTGAATATCGTTCTTTTCCCCTTTCTCCCCAAAAGGCCATAAATATCAGGCCAGTGATCGATCATTTCAAAAGGGGAAACCTTTCGTACCACCACGAAGTATTCCATTGTACCAGCATTCACATTTTTTCTAACTACATCGCAACTATGGTTCACATATCTTCCATTCTCGTTCCCTTCCTTGCCGGTGCTGCCATTGCCAGCCCGGCACGCAGCATCCTGGGACGTCAAGTCTCTGGCGGTAATGCTACTCTCGCTGTCACTGGTATCAGATACACTGGAGAGGGCTGTCCCGTTGGATCTCTGAGTGGGAATCTCGACCCCAACGGCAGCTTTGATGTGTTGTATGAAGCCTTGAACACCACGATCAGTATGTCTATCAAGATGAAATGTTGTCGCCTTACACTTATCACTAACAATTAATCTTAGAAGCTGGAGACTACAAAGTAAAGGTCAAATGTCAAATCGAAGTCGATATCCAGACAGCTGCGGAGCGACAGCTGGTTATTCTGAGGTAAGGAGTCATATTCTTGTCTTCTGCGACTCTTGCGTCGTTAGACGTTATGGAAATATATCACGGACTAACGTTGCCGCAGTGGAACCTACAAGGGACACGTCAGATTGACCGAAGGCGCCTGGGCCAAGAACCAAAACCAATACAAGTTCAAAGGAAGCCCGGGCACCATCAACATGGAATGGCCGTTCAAAGCACCTATTGATGCCGCCACCGAGTTTACCAACAACCTTTCCACCGAGTTTCGGTCTGGCTGCAACTCTAACGGAGGCAAGTTCACGATGATCATCAACAACTACTTGAGCATGAGCAGCGATGGGCCGGGCGAGGGTGAGATCTCTATCACGGAACTTGATGGCGTTGTCAAGCAGTCAACCAAGCTAGCTACTGCAAAATGCCCGTAGAGGGAAGCAATATCGTCTCCAATCATAGGCACAAGATGACCTAGCCACAATGGAAGGAGAGGCCGCAAGAACAGGGTCATCGATAATCTGCCCCCCTCGGCATGGTTCAATTGAAGTCGAATAATGTCCTATGGGAAGCACAGCAATGAAAAGAATTCAAATACAACCCTTGATTCGTTTCTTGTTGTGCAAAGCAGTTCGAGTGCCGCCCAACACTGTGTTTCCATTGTGTACCAATTCTGCAATCACATTCCTGTTTCAATTTCTAGTTGGAGCCTATTTCCATTTCCCTACTCCGTATGTTGCTAAAGAAGTGCGCCAAAATCTGAAAGTTTACGTCTGACAGTGTGTGCATGACACCGCGCGTGAACACGAGGGATGTTATTCTGCCAAGAAAAAGCTTCCGACTAGCTCGGCCGTCACTTTAGAGTTTGCCTCGTTTCAGACAACGTATCTCTTCCCTATGCTCTCACCTGCGTAAAAGTAACATGCGGTATTTTCTCATGTTACGTGAAGACTTTGAACGCTTGTAATTCATACTAGTGCTCGGTGGTCAATACATGTAGTCTTTTCAAGTCATCTTGTGTTTCTGACGATGAAGTCAACGCTGTCACTAGCAGTACTGCCATACATGCGCCATATCATTCGGACACAAGGCACATGTACTAGAATGTCTACTAGGCAATACCCATAGAAATTCGAAACATTGAATCCTAACTTAGGTCACCAGGCAAGTCACTCGCCGTAGTCGATAGTGCTGCACCAGCTCCAGCGGTAGCCCAGTTCCTACGGCATCTGACAAACACGAAAGGAGGGCTCCCAGCGGCTGCTGTGCGTAAAGCGGTCATCGCCTGTATCCTCCCAATAGCCCTATATGGAGCTAAGACCTGGTATACAGGCTTGAACAAGCCAGCCCTAAACAGCCACAGCAATACTAGCAGGAGTACTACTATGTAGATAGTTATTATTAGTACGGGACAGAAGGGCCTGGTCCGCAGAATTGGTAAAGTTATTATAATAGCGGTAAGGGCTATCCTACCTATCTAGAGGACTATACCAACTAATAGCCTCCTTCGAGAGACTGGCCTGCCTATAGCAGAGGTAGCCCTCGAAGTAACACGACTATATGTTACGAGCAGGACAAGGCAACCAACTGTGGCACAAAGCAAAAGCTTCGATAATGATGACTCCGGTCATCATTGTCCCTTGTTCTGCATATATAGCTACGCGCCCACAGTGACAAGTTGCGGCGGGCGTAACACTATACTTTACTATACGGCTATAAAAGATAGATTATGTTAGTTATACTAAATAATTATTTAATTATCTAACTAAGGATAAGGATATGTTGGATATGAGCTATCCAACATATCTAAACAAGGACACTGTCCAGCACAAAGGACATGTTCAGAATCAGGACTTGTATATAGGATGGACTTGAGCCGGACTCTAGGACAGACTTCCCATAGCTTCTTCAGCAATTAACTTCGTATCAGGATTAACATCCGCTTTCAGCTATCACCTTGACAAGACTACGACTGATCACCGAAGCCTTACCTTACCTTACGATTGACAGACATAGTTTCCTTGAAACTATTCCACGACTACGATTACTGTTACCAGTTCCGCAGCCTCAACTTCTACAAACTACCCCTAGGACTAGCTGGCCGTAACAGTAGTCGAGGTCTAAGTGTACCCCCTCGAGGTGGCCCATGCTCTGCCCCTACTCGCGGCCGAATTGGACTTCCAATCCGACAGTGATGGAAAGTACAATGGATTGACATAAGCCCTTCGATCCCTGGAGAACTCGTTTTGCAGCCACATTTTGCGCTAAACGTGGTAAAAATCAGATTTGATAACTCAACCAAAGTTGCACAAATTTGAGTCTAAGAAGCTTACTAGTCATCCACGACAAAGCGAGGTAACAAGTAGAAGACATGTATAGTAGAAAGTGGCTAGTTCCCTCTATGTGAGGGACCCATAATGGGTCGTATCTATGTACAGTGCGAGACGAGCAGTCGGCTCGTAGAAGGCGGTATCGTGCGGCAGTAATCGGCAGCGCCACGCGTGGCGCTGCCGACATCATCGTTGCCATATCATCTGAATATCTGCGGGGCCTGTGTCCCCAAGGTCACAAGTACGAGAATACACTTTCAATGGGATGTGTCACTATTGTCTTCCGCACATTTTTTCCTTCGCATATATACGCTGCGAAGCCTTTCTCTAAGGATTTGTCAATTCAACTGAAATGCCCACCCAGCTCCCGGCTAATTGAGCGAAATCTTCGGCGTCTACGGAAGCCCGTGCGCTAGGTGAGTGGTTCCGAGAAATTGCCTTCTCCGTCAATGTATGTTGAGTTCATTAAATCTCATTGTTCGTACTTTATTCAGCTAGAGTCTAATATATCGACTAACCGTTCTTCTCGGCCTAAGGAAGTTACTTTCTTCATAGTGCACAGTCATTTGGCCCGTTGAAGAAACTTCCCCATGTGAAGTACATATTTAAAGTCACCTGATCAAACGTGAACATTCTTAGAAACAGAAACGATTATGGAATCGGACGACAAACTTGCAAGACGCTTATCTTCCGGCACTGTTCTTATGTAGTATCCTTAGGTTCAAACGGCCAGTTGAGCTGAGACGAAGCGGAACGAACATTATAATAATCGGAATCCCAGTGCAGACCTTCCGGCTCCCACCAATGTGCCATACGCCGCGTCGACATTAAGCTTTGCATTCCTTTGGGAAGGTTTAACTATATCATCTCGAAGCCGGGTCCCGTTCGGGTAAATCACCAAAGCCAGCAAAGCCGGAGAAATCCAGCACTATATTTATTTTCCAGCAGCGCTGCCGCCAAAGCAAACAAAGAAATCAACGCCAAGATTTGACTGATTTGACTGCCTTTTCCCCAAGATTGGTTAATTTGCCCTATTGGCCAATATATCAAACAAATCCATGAACACGTGACCCGACGACGCCCATACTAATTACCCAATTAGGAAATAAGTGAAGCTAGTTATTCACAACTATTCATGATGCAATATGTGAGCCAATCTCAACCCCCATGGGCATGGCTTTCCTTTTCAGCCAATTCTTCGTCAACTGCAGCTGACCCATAGTCTGAGGCTTCATTGAGTGCCTTTGCGACGTCAGGGTCAGCTTCGCAGTACTGAATGCCCTCTCACAGTCAGCAGCCATGGCTGGTATTGCCAACACATCAAGAGCTAGTCTACTGAGTAGAGGATAGGTTGACTGGTGGTCTCTCCACCACTTAACAGGATCTTCCGTAGATTTAGGAGGCTGCCTGAGGTACGTCTCCAGCTCATCCTGCTGTCGAGAAGGCTCACGACTACGTCTAGTCTGTACCCATTGCCTGAAGTGGCTGTCTTCATGGGATGGAAGTGTGATCTCAAGAACAGCCGTAGAGTCATCAGACTCTTCCTCGGACCTATACCAATGGTCAAAGTAGTCCCTGAGCCCCTTCTTTGCATCACGAACCCACTCAAGCTGAACCCCTTCATCCCAGACTGCCTCAAGGTATGAGATACCAAGTGAAGGGTGGAGAATAACAGAAGCAGCAAACAAGGGAGACTCCTCTAACTTCGTATAGTATGAGGAGAGCTTCTGCCAGGCCAACTCAACAGAAGTACGAAGATGCTCCTGGTACGAGGAAGAGAAACCCATAAATCGAGCAGTACGTTGACTCCAGTCCTCTCTTACATGTTGTGGAAGTATGGATTCCTGAAGAGGCTGGGTCTGGCTGTTGACTGAAGATCGAATGGGGCGCCCTGATCGAGTCTGTGATGGTAGGGACTCTTCATCAGCAGTCACATTGATCGTAGACGACTCGTCTTCCTGTTGAGAATCAATGGGATGGAGTACGGAGTTGTATAGACTCTTCCACTCCTCTAGATGCTCAAGGAGGTACTCCATGCCAGTCATGACTTCCCAGAGACGACCATGCCCATCCCCCTTACCCCATCCCTCCGTCCTCTTCGTCTGCAGGTAGAAAGGCTCAAGGATAGACTTGACTTCAACCAAGACTTTCCAATCTTCTGAAGAAAGGAGGTCATCGTCAGGTATCCTTTTACTGGCATTGTCCTGCTCCTGGACCCAGTTGATGTAGGTCTCGATCTCTGCCCTCTTCTGAAGAGCTCGATGGATCATGAGGTAGGTGGAATTCCATCTCGTCTCGTTGTTGAGAAGAAGATATGACTCCTGAGACCCCTGGCTGAATAGCTCGAAGTCTGACCCAGCATCAACCTCTTGGGCTGCTTTCCTGAATCGCTCAGATCGCTGAGGAGAAGCCCTGATGAACTTCACGATGTTACGAAGATTACCAACAGGCCCCGTCTTCCTCCAGAGCTTCAGATCTTCCTCCTCATAATAGACAGACTGTTAGAAGAGTGACTCAGCCTCAAAGACTTTACGATCAGCACCAAAAAGAAGGGCTCGTGCCACCAGGTTGAGTATGTGGCCGTAGCATCGCATTCTCCTTGCCTGATAGTCCCCCTGATCCATCATAGGGTCGAGTCTCCTGAAGAGGGCAGAGATGCAGGTATCGTTGTTGCTGGCGTTATCACAGACCACCACACCCACTTTGCCAGTGATATCCCATTGCTGAAGAGTCTCGTAGATATTGTTGGATATGTTGGGACCGCTGTGATCGCCGCTCATGTGGTTGAAGGCGATGAGACGAGACTGGTGCTGGCCCATACTGTTGATGAAGTGGGCAGTGACTGCAAGGTAGGCGTAGTTGTTGGGTGACGTCCACAGATCAAACCCAATATGGATCTTAGTGAGGGCACTGTGGAGTTCATCCTTGACGTAGGATTGCCCCCTAGCGAAGAGAATGGGAAGATGGTCCATCATTGAAGTCCTACCCCATGGCACCTGATCAGCCAGAGAGGAGTTGTGGAGTCGTAGAACTTGTTGAACGAAGCTATCTTGAAAGTGGTCGAATGGTAGATCGTTGGTGATGATGGTGGAGAGACAGAGATC